TTTAATGTATTTAATAAAATATAAGTTTATACTTTATATATATAGCTGTGAGATTTAAGAATTTATCTGTATATATAATATAAGCATATATAACATGTACAAAAAGAAGAAGAATAAGAAGACGGAGTATAAGGGTGCATATCTATATATCCTATCCCTAGCCACTTGTGTGTTGTCCCATTGTGGAAGAGAAGGTCCATACTGGCTCCACGTGCTTTGAAATCTGAAAGCGTTTTCTGACATCAGATTTCTGACTACTAAACAACCATCTCAACTCTATATACAGGATATTATATTAGGTAAATCAAAAACAAAACAAAAAGAAATTTCCTTATCTATATCATTTCCCTTATTAGCGGTTAATTTGGCTTCTTATTAAGTAAGAGGACATGATATAAACCCGAGTTGAATTGAGTAGTCTAGAATGAGTTTATCAATTTTCCTGATTTATTATGTCTTCAAATTCTTTCTGCAGTTTGAAGTACACCGGCGTATTTATATTTTCATTTTTTTTTTTTTTTGAGTTTGGGGTGGGGATTTAAACTCTTCACCTTGATGGAGTTAGGTATAAAATTACTGTTATGTTATGCGAGCAACCATATATATATATATATATATATATATATATTCATTTTCTTGTTTACTTATTCATATTTTTCTTAAAAAAAGTGTGAAAATCGTTGTTCATGATATATATCCGACTCCTAGAAGGTTAGAACCTAATGTGCACGCATTTATATATAAGCTTTCAATCTACATACTCGCATACACATCTATAGATGTATAAGTTATACAAAATATATACTAAAAATAACATATAATGACTGGAGACCTACGTAAAGAATAATTACTGATATAATATATATATATATATATATATATATATATATTTAAGGATCGCTTTCAAGAGTGTGAATAGATCATAGATGTGTTGCATGTGAGGATGATAGTATATATAACACTATATATTAATATATGTACACGCACACATATTTGTGTGTGTGTGTGTATATATATATATATATATATGTGTGTGTGTGTGTGTATCTGTGTCGGCACAAGGACATCTCATGTGGGGTTTTCCTAGTGTCATTGTATCTCTTTGGTAAAAAATTTAAAATTTTTATTAATTATATTGGGGTTTTACTGCAATACATATATGTGTGTAGGCCCTTCTTTCAGCAACAGAGAAAAGAGAAAACAAAAAAGGAGTTAATCAATTTCCTCATTTTCTTGATTGTTCCTCCTATTACTACTGCTTCTTAATTTCTTTTTAGGGTGCTGATCATGCAAATCATTATACTAAATTTGGGGCTCAAATTTACTTGCGGGCACATGATCAGTACTTAACTTTAGGTTCCCTATAAATCGAGAGATAATATTAACGCATGCATGGCAGCGAACAACAAATTGCTATTATTTGTGATATATATTTATATGGAATTAGTTGGTGTTCAAATCCGAGTAAAAATATGCTTTCTCGAGGGATAGCGTACAAGTACTATATATTCTTTTTCATCATATTGTTCTGTGGCATATTATTATTTGTGTCTTTGTATATGATAAGATCACTTCTAGCTTTTTAGCTAGATTGCTTTTGGAAGCAGCTAGCTAACTTCTTGCCTAAAATTTTCCACATAAAAGGTAAGTAGAGAAATATCATATATATATGTGTGTGTGTGTGTGCGCGCTGATCGATCATAAACACAGAATAAAATTTGGCAAATAATATTCTTATTCGAGGACTATAAAAAGATTCCGTTTATTTAATTGGAAAGCCGTGAAAATTAGTCCAAAAGAGAAGCTCCACTAGTGCATGTGAGGTGCGAACGAAGCTTCATATCAGTTTCTCCCCTCCCCTAGTCATCACCTTTATATATATATATATATATATATATATATCATGATCACGGTCATTATATATATTGCGTGTTAATTAGAATGATCATGATGAGTTACTCCATGGCGCTTTGAGAGAGGAACTAATGTCTGGATGGCTCAATACATGATTTACCAGAACCAGAATCCAGGTCTAGCTCTTTGATCCATTAATCATATTTAATTGTTAATTATAATTGAGTTATATTTGTCTTACATATTCATTTACATGCATTAATTACACATGAATACATGTATATATATATATATGCATGAGCCTTGAGCAATGAGACTAGTTAAGTAAAAGCAATTATGTATAAATAAGTATTCATAGATGGCGATTTGTCTTGATTAAAGCTGGGATTTGACGAGAACAACTAATTATGATGTATGTGCATAAGCTTGAAATGAATGCTTTTATAATTGAAAGAAAAGGAACTTTCCAGTGATGAGGCCGGGATATTTTTCGTTAGGAGGACTAATAACTGCACCATAAATTTAAGAAAAATAAATACATAATTATTGAATACATTATGACTACAAATCAATCTTCAAAGGACCGAGAACTTCAACTACAGTGTCAATTGCAGCTATGTCCGCAAAGGGTTCAAAACCTCTATCTTCTATCCTATTGTAGGCTGATAGGTCCGCTATAATCTGCCCACAGAGGTACCCAAACTCGTCGCCCTCTCTAGGGCAACCTCTGTAGTTCTCCTGTTGACTCAGTATTATATCTAATAGGAATTTCCGTTTTCCTAAATTGATTTATCAATGTGAATTGATAGGGGCGCAACATTAAGATGTTGAGAAGAGGAAAAAATCCAATTTATGCGCCTTTTCAATAATATAAAGCAAGGGAGCGCTCTTAAGATAGGTAGATATTTCGAGGGAGAGGACTTAAGAAAGAGGTAACTACAACAAAAAAGCTTATTTATGATGACTGAATGTCATCGCAAAAGAGTACGTTGTCGTCGGTAATATTATATTTACGACGACATGTCGTCGCAAATTAGTCGCCGCAAAAAATTAGACGCAAATGATAAAGTTTTGAGATGTCATCGCTAATACATTAGCGACGACTGTTGTCGCGAATAAGCCGTCACGAATGTTCCGTCGAACATGTCGTTAATGATGACGTGTTCAGTTATATTTACGACGATATATGTCGTCGCAAAAGGTTTAGATGTCGTCGCTAGTGATTTAGACTATTTGCGACGACTTTTTTCAGATTGTTGTCGCAAAAAATGTTTTCCTTTTTTCCCCTAATTTCCTAATAATATTAATTATTAAATGTTTCCCTTTTTTTCCGTAATTTCCTATTAATATATAAAAATGTCCAAATTGTAGTAGTGTGTATTTTCATGTTAACTTATTATTGAGGCCATTGAAGTTTTTTTTAATGTACAAAAGTATATTTTCATTCAATTATTGATTTCTTATTCAATTGTAAAATCGATCTTCATAATATTCATACTAGAAAATTTTCTTAGGTCTTTGATCATTTTTAATTACTAGAAAGATATATTAAGAAGTTGATTTTTGTGTTTCCTCTGATTTTTTTTTTTTCAGTTTTTTTGTTTTTTTTGTTTTTTGTATTTTTTATGTGTACTGCTTCGCTTTCTATGCAAAATCAAAAAATATTTCTCATTCTAATTAGAATTGCCACTACTCAATAAAAATGTATTCACTAAACTCTAGTCAAATCATATTTGATAGAATCTATGGCATATACTGAAATAGTTTTTAAATACAAAGTATTGTCATTCTAATTCTTTATGGTTAAATCTTTACTACGTAACAAAGCTTTTTTTTTTTGTGTGGATATAGAGGCAAATGACCCATTTTTAAGGTTTTTTTTTTTTTTTTTTAAAATAGTTGAAATGGTCTATCACTGATGGGCTAGTAGTCAATCACTGATTGATTTAAGTTTACTGTTGATTAACTTGATAGTTTTTCAATATTAATCAATATTAGTTAGTAATTAGCTGAAATTAATTAGTAATTAATTAATTTTAACCAATAAATTACATGTTTATTAATGATATATCATTGATAAATTATAACAATAAATAGGTCAATCATTTGTCTACTGAAAAAAAAAAACCATTTTGCTAAAAAATAAAAAGTTCGGTCACTTACTAGAAAAGATAGTTAAAAAACAGCCATTTACCTAATTTACACTTTTTTTTCCCTTTTGAATCTATCCTTTCAATAGAACTTCATCTATATATTAGGAAAGAGGTTTAAAAAGTAAAATAAACAAAATATAATTACAAACGGAAACAAAAAAAAATAAAATGTTAAAAAAATATTTTAATCATGTCTAATTGGTTATTTACTAGGATGTTATAATTGTTCTTATCTAAAAACATTATGATGGATAATTTTGACATCCCAAAGAATTATTGCATGCATTTCGTTTTAAGAGGGGATATGTAGTTATATTTTATACACTAGTGAAAGAAAAAAAATTAAATAAATAAGAGATTTAGAGTAATAAAAAAAACAAAAACAAAAAAAAAACCAACCCTACATCCTAACCGGTAAGATATTTTTAAGCCTAGTATAGAATAGTAAGTTGACTTATGGCAGTTGCACCCCAAGAATTAAGCCTGCCTCCTAGTTTTTCTTTTGTTTCTTTTTTTTTTAAATCTTTTTTAGGGAAAAAAAAAGGGTGGGAGGGGGGAGACATCATCATACGTCCTTAACCCGGAATGATCAGTATGGTTAAAATGACGACACACAACAAAACATATATTTAAAATAACTATCATGAATTGATCTTTTTTTTTAATAAAAAAAATTGTTTTTATCTAGAGAATGGTATAATTTAGGTAAATATACAAAAATATATGCATATTGATAAAATAAGGTATGGCTATAATGGTAGGCCCTGAGATATGCTAATTATATGCAGCTCCTTGTAATTTGTTTGTTTAATAGGGTTGAATAGAAATTCTAAAGGAAAAATTTAAAATTTTGTATGAAGTTGAAAGAGCTAGCGAACCAAATATTTGGGTGGTTAATGTTGTCTTGATTTGTCTTTTTATGTAGAAAGGAGTGAGAGAAATAAATATAAATATCTATATATGTATAGTAGTAGTCAGCAATTGCAGGTGCATTTATGATAGCTTTTAACTTGTTGTGAGACTGAGAGCTAATTTCTGATCCGATTCGTCAGAAAACTAACGAGCGTCCCTTCCTTCCTCCTCTTCCATTCATATATCTTCCAGCACAGCACTGCACCGCGTCTTCATATTTGAAACTTGAAATACTACTGTGGCCTCTCCTGATATAATAGGTGCGTATACAATACACATATATACATAACATACTATTATTGTTGTTGTTGTAACCATATAATCTTCTTAGTGTCAGGGTTAATTATGGGATTTCTCTGAATTTGTTGTTGTTGGTCATATCCTAAGCATAATTAACTACTGTTGTGCATGAAATTAACAGTCTGAATTAATTTGGGATTTGGCAGGAATGTTGTTATACTTATATATGTATTAATGTTGTAGAAAATCAGCAGTACAGCTAGCTACCAACAAGAAATTAAGAAGAAGAGATGATGCCATCGGATTCCGTGGTAGCCCGCAAGGGTCGGCAGAGGCAGCGCTATCACAATAATCTCCGCCTTGTTTCAGGGTTCGTCTTCATCTTCTCTTCATTAATTATTTTTTTTAGTTTCTCCAATTTCTTCATTTAATATTGCTCTTCACCTTCTTCTCCTCCTCATAAGCAAATTAGCTAAATATGCTCCTGCTAATTTACTATTTGCATATTGTATATTGTTATAGCGGACAAGTTGTATAACCAAGCATTTTCCTTCCACTTCTATTTCCTTCCGAACCATTAATACTTTTTAATTTTTTTTTAACCATTAGCAGTAGAATATTTCATCATTACATGTTAATTTTTTCACTTACATATATCTTATAATTTCCATGGGCGTCCAAGGTAATGAACCCCTCTCAACTCGACTTACATCGTTGACTTTGATGTTTGTCTCTATCGTTTTTTCTTTTTAATTTCTTTAAAATTAATAAATGGCATCTTCTTAATTTGATAAGGATAAAAAGGACAGGGCTTGCTTTGTTGGGGACTTGGCCTCTATTTATATTAGATTTATATTATCCGCACGCTTAAGACGAGCATCATTATTGTTTATGTCAATTCTGCAATATGTAGTGTTTGCAAACTCAAGAAATTAAATAATATATATATATATATATGTATATATATAATGTGACCAAAAAATTGCATCAGCAAAAAAAAAAAAAAAAAAAAAAAAAAAAAAAAAAAAAAAAATTTAATTTAAAAAGTTTAAAACAAAAAAAAC